CCCCTCATGAGAAATGAGTGGTCTATTTATAGTTTTCTAAGAGTAGCATGACCAATAAATAGGAGGGAGATCAAGGGTAAGTTGGAAGTTGCTTGAATGGATGGCTAATGTTGATCTTCTTGATCGTGGACCATTTTTTGAGCATTTGAATGCCTTAATGATCGTGGACCATTTTTTGGGCTCATTAGATTTGCCTCGTAGAGTTGCTCGATTGAACTATAAGCATGTCATGTTTGGAAATCGTTTGACCATCCAATTTATGATTTGAACTTTCCAAATATGCTTGGGATCTTCGATTTGGACCCATTTGGGCTTGAATTGAGTCGAATTGGTGCATTGGGTTTGTATTTTCGAGGCATTCATTTTGATTATAAGTTTGCTAAAATCGGAGTTCGAATGGTCCCATATTTAATTTTGATAATTTTCAACTTGATTTTGCCTAAAGATTTCTGCCCGATCTGAATAATATTTTGATGATATATCAAGGACAAACTTCATAGTTTGCTCCCTAGTATTGCAACTATAGTTGTATTTTTCATTATAATGGATGGTTAAAAATCATTGTTTTGAAAATCGAACCAGACCGGTCGATTCGACCGGTTAAACTGTGAACTAATCTTATGGCCAGTTCGGTCCTCCACTTCTCCTGAAGAACTAGTCTAGCAACAAATCGGTCAAAACTGGTTTAAACCGCCGGTTAAATCAGCCGACCGTTAAACCGGTCCCGTTTCTTAAGAATCGGCCGGTTCAATTAATAATATATTTAAATATTTTAATTTAATAAAAATATTTAATTAAATATTAAATTAATTTAAATATTATTTATTTTATTTAACATTATAATTCTAAAATTTAAATTGTATTATAAATTAAATTAAATATAAATAATATTGCTCACATAATGTCATAATATCATGTGAGCTCCTAACCAATAGATGCAAGGAAATGTATATAAACAACATAACATAAAACTCCTAAGTAATGTGAGACTAAACAACTAATAGTTTTTTGTTTTAACTTTCAACAATGTGTGTATGAAACTTGTTTGAAAGAGAATTTGTTGGAAAAAATTCTTGTATAATATTCAAATAAAAAATCATCATAATAATTTTTAAACTTCTTAAATTTATAATTAATTATATATTTCAAATTATTCAAATAAAAATAATTATTTATAAATTTTAAAGTTCTAAAACTTTTTTAAATGATAGAAAAAAATCTTAAAAAATTTTATTATATGACTTTATAAATATAGTTTTATAAATGTAAAATTTTATAAGGTTTATAAATGTAAATATCTGCTTAAATATAATTACTAAAGCAATTATTTATATAAAATATTTTAATAACTAGTAACTAATGTTTTCCATTAAATATAAATTAAAATCGAGATTAAAGAATGTTTTCCATTAACATAAAATTGTAATTTATTTATATTTAACATAGTATAACATAATTATAATAATTATTTTCATTTAATTTTAAAAATTCATGTAATATTTAATATATCAATGTATTAAATTTTATTTATTTTTTATTCTCAAAATTCTTAGAATTATAAAATTTTCAAAGATTTAAATTGATCAATTGTTATTATCGTTAATTTGTTATTTTAATCAATATTTATAAGCACCAGGCCAAACGGCGTAATTTGAACGTGAACCGATCATAAGCCACGATTCTGGTTAAGTCTATAAACACTTCAACTTTGTACGCCGAACTGAACTACCGGTTCTATCTGGCGAACCGGTGAATCAGCCCCAATTATTTTTGAACCTTGCGATTCAAGTCCACATAATTTTTAAAATATTTTCTTAAGATAAATTAATTACTTTAATTTAAAACACTTAATTTAAAGTAATAATATTATTATTATCTTATAAACAAACCATCATGAACATCTTCACATGGCCCCTTTCATGTGAATCTTCATTGATAAGGATGACATCAGAAGCGCTATATAAATTTTATATCAAGAAATGTTTTTCAAGAGATGTGGGACTAAAGAAAAAAAGTGAGGTAGTGTATGTGTCTATAATTATAATATAATGCCTTATAATTATCTATTTTTAAACAGATTTTTTAATTAATTATTTTTATGTTAATGATAAAATTTTTTTGTTAATAAAAATTATTTATTTATAATAATAAAAAATATAATAATTTATTATTACAAATGTTTTATTATTTATTAATGATTTTAGATTATAAATTTAAAAATAACTTTGGTATACAATATAAATATGTAAAATATTATTTAATCATATATATAAAATAAGAATAATTTATTATTGATTTTATAAACTTATGTTAGTATTAAATCATATTAAATATGTAACATAATTAATAATAATTTAATAAGATTATTGGTTATATGTAAATTAAATTTTAATTAAAATCAAATTTAAAATTAAAAATTATTTAAATTTTAAAATTATCATATTTTTATGAGTGTAAATTTTTATAATTATGAGATTTAAATTTTTTTACTTTTATATGAGATTTTAAAATATTATTTTACTTGATTATTAAGTTTTATGGTTTCATAATTTTTTTTAGTTTATTTTATTTTCATCATTCTTTGAATGATAATATTTTATTATGTTTAATTTATTAAATTTCAATAATATTATTATTTATTAGTTCATCCGATTCGCTCCATTAGACCAGTTCGAATGTGAACCTCTCCTTCTTTGGTTCATTGTCCAGTCCAATTTTCAGAACCTTACTTTTAATATTATTATTATTTATTACATCATCGACCCGTTACGTCGAACTAATGAACCTCTCCTTCTTCTGGTTCGTTGTCCGGTCTAATTTTCACAACCTTGTTAAAAATATCTAATTTTTAATAAATAATTAGTATTATTGTTATATATTTTTATAAGACGCTGTGGAATATTTATTGGTATCTTACTTCATTAAGTTTTATACTAAAGAGTATTTAAACATAAATGTGATCATGAATTGAAAACCAATAATACTAATATATATATATAGTATATATATATATATACCTAAATTAAATTTAACAAACTATTGCTGAAGCACATTGGCTTGAATATTTCATGCCTACAACTCATTTTCCCAAGACTCGCTTTGTGCATTGAAACCAGCAAGATGTCTAATAATATGCATGTTGCCAAATTAACTATTGGAACTTAAAAATAAATTGACTTGCACAACAAGATGAAATATTAGCCTGAGAGAACTAGCCAGCTAAACTTCAACCTATACTCCTCATTAGAACTCATCAATAATACCCATGATATGAGAAGATAACTTTAT